TGCTGAAAATAAGAGCAGGTCAGCAACTAAGTTAAAAAAAGAACCCATGGATAAAATGCTGTTTTCACGGAGGTCGATGAGATCATTGCAATTGCATTTAATGAGGCAAAATTCACTTCAGGTTCCCTGATCTTGGTTCTCACTTTGTTTACCTTACTAGATCGCCCTACATTGTTTTGCATTATTAGTTTACTATTAACTCAACAAGTATTCATCACAAAATAAAAAGTAACTATAAAAATATAATTGGGTTTTTCTACAAAATTTCTACGTTTCAAGCATAGAAAGAAGAGCAACAGTAATTATTTTAAATTAGTACTATATTTAGCAGCTACACTAAGGTATGATGAGCTATGCCTTTTGACTTCTAATGGATTTCATTAAATAAATTGTTGTTTCTCCTTAAGCAACCACATCTATAAAAATAATACATTAAGTGTGAGATTTCTGTGCTAGTAATATTTCTGTGGAATAGACAGGCAACATGCTTTTTGCCTGATTTTGTAAACCTGACTTTGTTCAGATATTTAATTTACTTAAGTCATCCTGATGTAATATGTGAACATTATTTCTCTATGTTGAGTTTCTGATTCAGCTGCCATTCATGGTCAGTATGAAATGTCACAGTATGAATACGTGAAAATAAGTATGAACAGGTCATTTATACACACTTTTAAATTCTACAACAATGTGCATTCTAGTCCTGTACACATCAAAATTGGTATTTATAGCAGTGATCTGCAAGATGAGACTTTTACTGAGTGTGAGAAACAAAACTCAAAAGCTTTATACTGTCAAAGAACTGCACCAAATTTTTTTTCATGGGAATTATATCTTAAAAGCTTGAATAAAATTCATGAGTGACCTGCTAGCTTATAAAACTTCAACTCAAATTAAGAGCTACCTTTCAGTCACAGAAGACCTTTTAATACCATTATTTGAAACGGTATATCTTTGTATTTCAAAAAGTATGTGAAAAAGCTGTATTATTAAAGGTGACATCACTGAAGGAAATTTCTAAAGTGCTGCTTAACAGCCAATATTGCAAATGCAAGCAGGGATTATTATTTATATTTACATATACTTTGAGGATTGGAATAATGTAAACTGCAGAGGTAAGATTCTGGACTTTAGGACAGCAGGGAACTGTTTAGAGAATCCCATGAGAAGTGAGCATAAAGCAGAGGAAAAATTTGAGACAGCATATTGAATAGCATTAAGGATCACCTGGCTCATAACTTAAAACAGGTTTTTGAAGTGTCCAGTGCACCAGGCAACTCATGAGGGGTTGCGAGAGCGACTCAGCCTCAGATTGCCTTGAGGCCCTGTCTCTGCAGAGAGACCCATGGGGAGCTGTGTAGGTAGCTCAGCCCTGAGTTGTCTGATAAGCACAAAACTAAACAGGGCAGCACTGCATCATTCAAGGAAAGGAAATCTGAGTTGAGCCTTTAAATCCATCAACAGATAATATGCCCTCAGTCCCAATCAAACCACTATTCAGTTGCTTAAAAGTAAGATGAAGGTAAACTGGAGGGTTTCCATTTGGTTTCAAGGGACCCAGATAATCCAAGGATATGCAAAAGATAAAGCATACAGAAGGGAATGTCACCCATGAATAAATAAAGATAAGGGGAAACACTGCTAAAGACGAACACCTCAGGTGGTATAATCCACCCAGGCACACTGCTGCCCATTGTCATAGACCCGGAAATAAAAACCTTAAGATTCGGGCTGGAAATTGGGAGTTACTTCTCCAGCCATGCAGTGGCAAATGAGGAGACCTTTCCTCCTTCGCTGGGATGCCAGCCAAGGTAACTTATGTGGGAGCCCTTACCTGGAGGGGTAAGTGAATACTTGGCAGGCTTTAAGTTTGTAGTCACAGGTGACAGACTAACACACATGTAATAGTTTGAATTGTTTGTGAGTTGTGATAGTGTGTTCCATGAATTGCCTGTGAGTTGTAATAGTGAATTTTGTGAGTTGCCCGTGGGCAGTAATAGTGCATTTCATGACTCTGTTGTGATTGTAATAGTTCATTTCGTCAGTCTCTTCTTCTTGTAATAGTGCAGTCTTGCTTTTAAACTCCAATAGTGTATTTCTCTATTGTATCCATACAACCTGCAATAGTGATGTATTGAATCTGTATATGTTGTTCAAATAAATTGTTTATTTGAACCCTGCATTCGAGTCTCTTTTTGTCACAGTTCTTTTCTATTTTAACTCCACTGTTTTGCAGAGAGAACATGGTAAGAGATGTGAGATTATTCATTACTATATTCAGCCTAAGGGATGTTGTGTCAAAGGCTTGTTGTAATAGTAGGTAAGGCACAATCGAAAAGCCTCAGTGAACTCTAGAAATCCAGCCTGTAAAAATTTACCTAGCTCTACCTACAAAAAGCGTCTAAGGACAAATTCCAGAAAAATATGTAAGCAATTGATGAAAAGATCATGTCTATTTTAAGTAAAATATTTTCTTAAAACCAAAATTGTTCTTATAAGTAAGCATGCAGTATTAATACTCTCTGAATTACACTACAGAACATTGTAAGACATAATTTCTAACAATTCAATCAGTAATTACCAACATTAAAGTAATACAGCTAGCAATATTCGTGTCTTAAATTAGAACTGAAGTTCTTTACTAGAAAGAAAGAAACGCTGTGCATATAATCAATATTTGCAAGGTTACCAAAATAAGTCCATTTCTTTTTAGTGCTGTCTTAGGTTTTCCCAAACATTAGCAATGCATTAGGTTGCAGAAGAGATCTCTGCATGACTGCAAAATGCTGCCCTGTGCTGCAGCAAATTTCTGCTACAGTAAAGTGTGTTGCTGAAGCAATAAAACCGCAATTCCTATACATGAAAAATAAATAATATTCATAGAAAATCTACATTTCTATTATCTAAGTATTGCACATTGTGTAGTGAAACAATGGCATAAAATTATATCAGATTTCTTGTAATAGAATTACATTACTTCATGCTTAATAGAATAGATCATAGTGTTACCTGTTTTAATACTTATTTTAAAAGATTTTGAACTGATAAAAGCTTGCTAATTACAACTTACTTAAAATCAATGTATATCTGAATGATTATTCTAAATCTCTGAGTCTAAACATATGACTAAAGTCAAAATTGCTGTCAGTTGGTTTAAACAAGTAACTTTAAAGTATGTATGTTTTAAGAAAAACCTATTTCTCCTAATCTTGAGTTCAGTGGTGTAGATGATACAATTCTGTGCATCTCTGCAAAAAGGAAGAGGATGTTAACAAAAAATACAGACTGAGAAATTATAATGGCTAGTATGTAAGAAACTGTATGGGATAGCAGACATAAATTAGAGTGAATATACCACATGCTTAGCACAGAATCAGTGAAGTAGTGGACATGGTATTAAATTTCACCTTCCTGGTGCTAATGACAGGGTGACTGAGCTGGTAGCAACTTATTTCTTACTGCATTATTCATTCAGCTTTTCTCTGTTTTAGCTTAGTAATGGATTTTTGAGAAACACTTGCGTTAGAAGGTGATCATTCTATTTCAGATTGTGAACCATGGGGTCACCTACGAATCTAAGACAGCTGGCAAACTGTCAGAAATTGAATGGGTGTAGGATTCATAGTTAAATAGAAACACCATTTAAGAAAAATCTCCCATTTCTCTTACCTAAATTGGCTAAGATTTAAAGAATTACCACAAACCACTATTGGAAGGATGAGGAAATCTCATATGGCAAAGCAGCATCTCACAGAATTGTAACTACAACAGTCTCATATTTATAATATTATAATCTATAGTTTATAGATTATAATCAATGCTATGACAGACCAGTTCAGTAGAGCGTGAGTCTGCATGTAAATGCGTTCATTACCTATTTCCCTTCACACAGGAACTCTAAATTTATTCTGATTTCATGGAGGTGAACTAAGGACTTACTTTCAATTACCAGCATTTTTAAAAACTGCAGCTCTTAAAAAGTTCTGTAAGCCTAGCGGAAACAAATAAAATAATCAGCAGTCTACAGTGTATCTGACAGAAACAAAAGCATTTAAAGTTGATGTTTATGTAAAAGTTTTTAAAACAAAACCAAACAGAGCTACATTGAGTCTTGATGTATTTTTTGGCTTTGTAATAGAGGAGCTCTTGAGCTCAGTGTATTACCCTATGCACTTTCCTCCTCCTCATCTCTCTTTATATAGCTTTATATTTTCATGTGCTAATAATAAAACAAATAATTTGACAATACAGCTACGGATTTAAGTGAACAGATATATTTAAACAAATTTACCAGTACTATATTTTATATTCAACAAATGTAATACTCAAAGGTAATTTTTTTAACAGCTCAAAGATCTTACACCGATGAGAAATTTCTGTATGGAACCTTTTTTTAGGTGAGTGTGAGCAAACAATTAGACATTGTTTTTAAATGTAATTCTAAGTTTCGAAATCATAGGGAAGTCCAGTTCTAGAGAAATTCCAATTGATTTTGCCAAGAAAAGGTTGGACCAAATGATCCTTGAGGCCCCTTCCTCATGAGATTCTGCATATTATCCAAGAAAATGTTAGTTATAGATAGGCAGATATGACACAAGACTGCGAGATCCATGCTCTCCTGGATCAGGATACAAAAGCAGTGGGAATCAGTTGCTTAAACATTGGCTTCTAGCACCATTTTTCCCCTGATTTCCAGTTGCTGGATCAACAAGAAAATGTATTCACTTGGTCCTGTATCATATCTGAAGCCACTCTTCTACATGAACTGAATCATACTATTGTAAACTTTCTCAATAATTCCTTGTTTATTTAATTCCCAAACAAATATCTTCATAACTAAAGATAATTCTTATTATATTCAAATACTGTACAGATAAAAGTCAACATATTCCAAAAATTCCTTTCTTACGGAAATTCACATTTATGAACAGGTGGTTGGATTCTCTAGCTTACTCTGGATGCAGAAAACATTCATATGCCAACAAAATATGTAACTTTACCTGGGAACTGATCATACGTTGTGATGAACGAGCAATATTAGCAGGCAAGCCAAAAAAGTCAGGTTTATCATGTTCTGGAAGGCTTTCAATAATATTACGATAATCCTGCATTAGAAGAAAAGAATAAACATAACAGTGAACTTTTTGTTCTGGTCATGAAACTAACAACGTATGCTGAGAAGAATTTCATTAAGTGCACTGCATAACACAAAAATTAAAATAAGTATATAAGTATATATACATTTAGATTTTCCTGTTTCATTCAGAAGTTTTAAGAATGTTTAGCAGTCTGTCTAAAAGTGCTATTATGTTATTATACTAAGCTATATAAAAATGTAATTATATTAATTGACCCAGTTTCTTTCACTCAGTTGTTCATAGCTATGCTGCTCTGCATCACAGTCCAGTCGGATATCATAAAAAGGAGACTGAACAAACAGACTAGCAGAATAGTTCTGACAACATAAGAATTAGTGCTCCACACAAAAGAAGTCTTAAATAAATGGCGATATCCTTTGCATTGTAACTCTGGTTTTCTTTGTTAAATTATTTCCAATATTAATTATTGAATATAACTTATTTTACTTTCTATATTAGGTGATGGAAGATGCATACCTACCAAAATGCTGCAGGAATTTGGTAAAGAGATTGAATATGGGAAACTAGACATCTTCTTGCCTCTAGCATTTAAACTGCCAATGACTTGTGAATTGAAAAGCTGCTCCAAGTAGGACCGAAGAACCCTCATATCAAAGTAATTATCTATACGGCCTCCATATATTGCATTTTCAAACAAGCCATGTACAAATTCCCACTGCAAATCTTTGGAACCTATAAATTAATTAATATTAGTTATGTATCAATGGATAACACTGCATTATAAGCATTTCTTCTTGGCATTGTCGTTCTTCAGTGAAATAAAAAAATATAAACACGTCAAATAACTACTTTCCAATTGTTTTTCTTCTATATTACCAAATAATAAAAGTTGCAGAAACTTCAATGAGTTTGTAAATATTTGTCATTGATAAAACGAACACTTACTATGTTTCAAAATAGGCTCTTAGAAATATTACTTAAGTCTTGAAGTGCTTTTTATTGTAGATAAACCAATTGGTTACATGCACTTCAGTATGATGCTATTAAAATTTTAATTATGTGCTCCTTTGTCATAAATAAAATTAATTTCCCCTGTTCAAAAAATTATATACTATTTTGTATCACAGTACCATTTCATCTCATAAAATAGACTGATTGATTGAACCAAAACCAGATCATGCTCAAAATAGATAACATTGCTGGAAATGTCATTTTTCAAACACAAAGAGGTCCAGGATAAGTACTTTGTAAATAATTACAAATCACGCAATGTAGTACATAAAAAAACCCACCATGTTATTATTAGTTTCCTGGCCAGATTAATGTTGTAATTATATATTACTCTGGCTTAGTTATATCCCACAAGTTCAGAATAACTTATTTTCCCTCCTTTCTATCACAGTTGTCCAAAATAACTACATGAGACAACAATGTACATATACCCTAATAGGATTCAAGAGAAGGTAAAAGCTTGATCAGAAAAGCACTTCTTAGAGTCCCTTGAATAAAAGGAAGCAGTAAATACTTAATAGTGGGTTTTATTGATGGTAACTGTTGTTTCCAAATATTTCAATCATTCCTTCATAAGAAAAGCTATCTTCACAGCAATAGTTAATGATTAGATTAATCGTTATCACTGATCGTTAATGATTCAATCTCTTTACATCACTTTATGTTTCAAGTCTGTATAACTAAGGCACAATTCCAGAAGTACTAATCATCCATAAATCTCATTTAAGTCAATAATCATATTGTTCCAAACTTTACTTTGAAATAATATAAAATGCAAAGACTTTTAAAAAATACCTTTTTCTTATTAATGAAATTAAGAAATTACTACGCTACTTAGCAGAGCAATGAAGTGGAATCTATCTAACAGTTTCAATATGAAGAATTCATTGATATTAAATTCATATTCAGTTAATTTACTCAATGTATGGGGGAGCTCATGCTGGGAAGGAATGGAGACAGAAGACTTCCTCTTCCAGTCACTCCTGTGTTTCCTATTTATTCCGTTGGACTCAAGAAGTTGAGTAGAATAGTTCTTGGCACAAAGAAATTACTGGTTCATCCAACCTCCCACAAATGGAACTATGATTCACCCAGCATTTTTAGCTTTGCTTACTGGTGGAGAGGCTTGCAGCACCTCCACTCTTATATGAGTGCTGTAGAAAGATCAAGCCCTTCATGCAACATCTCTACTAATGTTAACACAGGACAGGTCCTGTTTGAACTCAAGGTCAGATGGCACAAGGTGGATTGCATCCATGCGGCAATCTTTGACCCTAAAATAATGTAATCTTCTACCTGCTGCCTACTGGAAAGGGTCTCCAGGCTCTGCTATCTGACAAACCACGCCTTGTCACTGCCCATGAGAGTGCCAGTCTGTATAAGCCAGATATGTGAAAAAATAAAACTGATCATGGAATACTTTTGAGCCTTTATAAATTTACTAATAGAGACATATCCTCAGAGTCCCAATCTATATCCAGAAAAGCCCAATAAGCCTAGGCACAGCTGATTCAGGGTCAGATTAGTTCCCATACTGAATTAGTTACCTATCTACCTGGTCACGTGTTTATATTTGTGAAAATGTTCCAATGAAGTTTCAAGTGCAAAATTTAAATACCTTCAAAGCAGCCTTCGAACAGAATGTCCCCATTCCAAAGAAAACAATCATGCAAAGTAACCAGTTTATAAAAATTACTGTGAAAGTTTATAATACTCTAAAAATTTTAAATGAGAGATATGGAGAAGGGTTATGCTACAGAGGTAAGAAATCTTTCCTTAAGAAGTAACTTACCCTCAAAGAGTCTATCAATAATGTCAAAACCAGCACGGAGATCAGATAAAGAAAATTCATAAAACTTGGTCCAACCCTACCATTAAAAAAAAATCCAAAGAGTTTAATTAGTCACACAATGGTGATCATTAAATAAAATACAAATATTATATGGCTACTAAATACAGCATAAAACTTAATACTGAATGAAAAAATGAGACAATCTATGTCCTCTAAAGTGCATCTTTGGAAACATTTGTTGGAGGTGGTATAAAAAAAAATCAGCTCTACCAGTGTATTAATTTTACATACTTATACAAACTAGAATCCATTGAGTCTGAAGAATGCAAACTTAAGATCATTTTATTTCCTTACAGTATTTACTTCAACTAAACTTGCTGACATCTGGGACTAGATCACACATTGAATTATGTTTTTATTTCTGAGGGCTTTTTGGTATTTTAGTTTCCTTTGGATTTTCATAAATAAGTTTAATTCTTCAAACATAGTCTAGATTACACTTTATTCCTCTTACTGACTGAAAACATTATAATGAGAAAAGCAACAACTGCTGCTACTACAGTAGGAATACTGACTGCCATATTAATATTTAATCATCCTCAGTTTGTACCTCCTTCCTGTTCTTGGTGGCATTATTCTTTATACAGCATTAGTGTGCAATGTGTATGTAATTCTCACAAAAAATTTTCAATGTAAATGGTATAAATAAAGTATAAATAAATATGATGAAGAACTTAGGAAATCCAGATTTCGAAGGTATCTCCTGTTGCTGTATCCTCTTATGACTGTACTTTTGCATATGAATCATGGATAGGAACAGATGTATATGACTCATGATGAGAAACGTATGAATGTGTCAGATAACATGCACATGTCCAGTGAGATTGGATACAGTCTCAGGTCAAGGCTGGAGCTGCTCCACAGATCTCAACCAAACTATCAGCCAGTCACCCTGAATGTTCATGGGGGTTTTTTGATAGATCTATGCACAGACCAAAACCAACCTCAAACTCATTATAAAATGTAAGAGCTTCTGGTTGGGATTAATTGCAATCCAGCAATGTTAGAAACTGGCAATCTTAAGCAAAATATATAAACCATCACTAAGTCTGCACAGGAGACAAACACAGTTACAGTGGAATTAAGGAGAAAGCAGTAATACTCCTCTCATGTCACTTGGAAACCTGGTGGTAAACAAACATGAAGTTGAACAGAGCCAAATGAAAGTTCATGTGTCAGATCAGTACTTTAAATGTTTTCACGCATTCTACTTTTTGAACATCATATTCAAAGTCTGTTACTGTAAGAGGCAAACAACCGTACAACAAAGTCAAAACCAGCAAAACACTCAAACATTCCAGGTTTTGCCAGATCAAAGTTAATGACAGGTTAATTTCACTCCTAGTCTGGATAAAATAAACAAGGCATAGAACAGTTTGTTGGTGTTTTTTCTGTTTCATTTAAGCATCTGCAATCAGAAAGAAATGTTTGCTTTAAACAAAAATTTATCTAAGGAAACACAATCTCTGAAAACCATTGTAATCCTCATAAATTAGTAAACTTCCTTGTTCTTCCTTCTCCTTGAACAGGGTTTGTGTGCAGAAAGAGCAGAAAATGTTGTCTCCTCCTTCCCACGAAAGTGTCTCTACTTAAGTGTTACATTCAATCATGTCTGTTTCCAAAATATTATTTCCTGTCCCAAGCAAACAGAGCAGAGACATAACAGTCCTGGAGGTTCCTGGAGTGTGTGGAAGATAACTTCCTGACACAGCTGGTGAAGGAACTGACAAGGGAAGGTGCCCTGCTGGACCTGCTGTTCGCAAACAGAGAAGGTCTTGTAGGGGATGTAATGGTTGGAGGCTGTCTTGGACATAGTGATCATGAAATGAGTTTTCAGTCCTTGGAGAAGCAAGGAGGGGGGCTAACAGAACTGCCACTTTGGATTTCTGGCAGGCAGACTTTGGCCTGTTTAGGGAGTTGGTTGGCAGAATTCCTTGGGAGGCAGTTCTGAAAGGCAAATGAGTCCAGGAAGGCTGGACACTCTTCAAGAAGGAACTCTTAATGGCGCAGGAATGGGCCGTCCCCGTGAGTCGGAAAACAAGACAATAATGAAGACAGGCACCAGAATTCTCTAAGTTTTCTCATCTCTGAACATGATCCAACATATACCTGATGAAAATTACTTCCAGGTATAAAAGCTAATAAATTGAGTAAATTTTTAAAAAGGGAAAAAAAAATATTACCTGAGGAATATAATTTCTTCTTTCTTGGCATACAGCATGAAACCATGCTAAACAAAAGAGAGAATGGGCTCGAGACAAGTTTCCCTTTTTACTAATTTGCTCTGGCATCCAAGATTCATAGGTTCGCAAGAGATTCTTTTTGAGGCCTGGAGGTGCCTGCATAAGAAGGAAAAACACTGTTCTAGACAGAAAACCTGATATTTTATGTTCTATTTTCTTAAATTCTAACTTATGATTTATAATTTAATTAAATGACAAACAGTACTTAATAAAACAAAATTTAACAAGAGAAAATCTGTTTGTAATAAATGGCCTAACAGCAGAATAATCTTATACTGAAAATAACTTAAACTTACAAAAGGAAATTGTAACCAAGACCAACTGATAGGAGGACTGAACTACACTAAAAGAACTTAGTGAAAGAATAGTACTCTATCGAAATATGCAAGCATAAAAGTAAATTAAAATTTTTCAAGAATAAGAACTTTTCTTCTGAATTTACAAGACAACTACCAATTATCAATTCAGAGATCAGAGCCAATTCGCCCTATGCCACCACATTCTGACAGCTAACATACAGTTATAGTATAAGTGTATAGATAAATGCCAGTTCTCTGATTTAGCAGTAGGCAATGTTCACAACCAGTAGAAACAACTGTAGTTGAAGTGTATATAATAGCAAAGATTACAGTGCCTAAGAGTAAAAATAACTGATTAGATACCCAGCCATTTTCAAATTATTTCCAAATGTGAAGTCAAACATAAGTTTAAGAGAGATTTAAATCACATTTTCATATTTAAAAGAATGTTCTTTCTTTCTTTTGAAAAATAATGTTTGTTAAAGTTTCTGTAAGATTACCATAGTTGCATATGTTGCATATGCACACTTGTGGCAAATAATCGCAAAACACTGTAGTCAGTTGATGATTTTTTTTTAAAGTAACTACATCTTGATTGGTAACAGTTAAAGGACATACCAGAACCATATAATAATCAAATATTATTAGCCAACCATTGGCTATCATTGCCCATTCATGGTAACAAAATAGTTGCTACAAATGAAAAGGTAACAAAAAGAGTTTAAAGATTGTGTCAGTGGGAAGTTCTGACTATTCCAAAGATGGTGGGATCAGTAACTTCAAGAAGCTAGATGAAAAGAAATGTGACAATCCTAAACAGTCCTGTAGTCTCTGTAAAATTCTGTACTGTTGAAGACCTCAATATAAGGAAGAAGGTACCCCAGAAGTTTAAAAATACCTGCAGACAATATAAAAGTGTTAATTTTTGGCTTCTTGAAAGTCAGCAACATTGGACATTAAAAGACCAGAGCTTCTTGGTTTAACTGTAGGTAAAACCTCCAAACTCCATAACCAATGGAAGATTTAGTATCACTCCAATCCATGATTTCTGTAATGGGCATTAATGCGTAAGTGCATTACGATCAGAGAACTCTCCAACAAGTTAGAGGAGCATGGTCTCAGCTACTCCCTAGGCTAAGCCATTCTGAAAGCAAAGCTCTCAATTTTAAAGGCCTTTAACAGTATGTTCTGCTGTATGCAAGGAGAGGCACTTTTGTTGTAAAGGGTACAGTGACTATAAACCTATGGAGCCAGAAAGAAAAATAAGGAAGAGAAAGTGTGATTCTGTGATCTTTAGATGAAGAGATTCATCAAGGAGTTTTTCATCACTGTTTTTCATTCACGTTCCAGCACCTGTGTAGGTATTTGCTCTAAAGAAACACTGATTAAAAGAGTAAAAGTATTTGAAGCACAAAACAGAATAAATACTTCCCCCAGGTAAATTTATTTTCAGTTCAGACTTTCAATTGGAAAAAAAAATCTGGAAACAAATTTTACAAACCTTCCCTTTAAAGCAAAGCTTCTGCAAATTTCCACATATACATTGCAAATGATCATCAAAAATCTTTCAAGATAAATTCATAGCATTTTTTTGTATCACATTTAATTGGAATATAAGGCAAAACCAGTTATGTAAATAATCTACATTATCCAACCTTTATTCTATCTAAACATAGAATCAAAACAGATTACTATACATCCAAGTTAATTCATTGTGAACATGTAATAAAAGCTTTCCAAACAGATCTTACTTCGTAAGTTATTTTCAGACTTGATTGAAGCAAAATTGGTGTAAATTTTGGATGAACTTCAGTAGTAAGCCAAAGGCGAAAGCTTGGTTGAGGCTGTAATGTATTCAGTTCCTATTAAAGAGATGTTAGATATTGAAGTAGGTTTTCAGTTTGTTTGTTTTTTTTTTTATATACAGAACAGTATTTACAAAATTATAATGTCCTAAATTAGAAACTTGGGCTTGTTTAAAAATTCTTTAGATCTTTTTAAAAGTACGGTTATTCAGAAGACTATAGTTAAAGATGCGTTGTCTCCACACATTCTATAGGCCCACTGTGCTCAAGTTCAAAGTTCATCGCTGGCGGTGTCAAAATATTTGCACCTCCTCCTCAGATCCTAAATTCAGAGCATAAAAATATATAGCGATTTTTTTATTTCTTTTAAGTAAACAAAACACCAGGCTACATCTCAAAACACTGGAATGTGGGCTGCATATAAATGACACTAAGTTAGGTGATCTTAAAGGAGACCAGTATGCCCAGCTGGGTAGCCCAGCACTAAAGACAGCACAACAGCTGTGTCTCACCAGGGCTGACCAGAAGAGAAGGATCACCTCCCTTAACCTGCTGGCAACACTCTGCCAAAAGCAGCCCAGGAGGCCAGTGGCTGCCTTTGCCACAAGGGCACATTGCTTACACATAGTCGGTGTCTTACCCACCAGGACTCCCAGGTCTTTTCCACCAAGCTTCTTTTCAGCCAGTTAGCCCCCAGACTATGCCAGACTGAGTTCTGGAGTTATTCCTTCCCATGGGAAGCACTTGGCATTTCCCTTTGCTGAACTTCACAGGGTGCTTATCAGTCTACTTCTCCAGCCTATCACAGTCTTTCTGAATGAAAGCACACCCACCTGTTGTATCTATAACTTCTCCCAGTTTTATATCATCTGTACTGGCTGAGCATGCACTCTGTCCTGTTATTCACATCATTAATTAAACAATGTTGGCCAGAGTATCAATGTCTAGAGCACACCACTGATTATTTGCCTCTGGGATGGATTTTTTTGGCACTGACAACAACCCTCAGACCCATGCAGTTAGGCCAGGTTTGAATCTACCTCGCTGTGGTACAATCAGATCTGTATTACATTAGCTTGTCTATAAGGATGTTATGGGAGACAAACTAAGATATGGAAATGATCCACAGCCTTGGAAGTAGGAGATTTAAGAAAATAAAACATGGGAATTTATATGCTTATTCAAATACAATCATCTGCAGCATGCAACCTCTGATACACTGTGTTTGGCTAGAAGACAGCTAAGGGCAGTCAGTTGCAAGCTGGGAAAGCATCATCTTCATATTGATAAAGTTCATATTCACCAGAAGACATATTTCATCTTCTCAAATGGAAAGACTGTGAGAACTAAATTTATGTACCTGGATGAAAATGAATTATTAAATAGGCAAATCTCTCTTAAGAGGATGTTGAAACATACGAATTGCATAGTCTCACACTTGCTAATGGTATGTAAAACAGACAAGGGGATGTGTTGAGTAAAACATCAGTAAATCTCAGTCTACATTAAGCTCAACAGGAAGTTTAACACATTCAGTTCTTGCGGAAAGAATAAGAAACTCCTAATATAGATCTATATTTTAATATAAGGATCTGAAATTTTATAATTAGTAAGAAGCTTAAAAGCACTTCCTTACTGTGTTCATTATCATATTCAGACTAGATGACACACATCAGTGTTATCTCACTTTGCCTTCTCATTTTTTCAAAATGGTTTATTAGAACGTTAAAGGAGTATACATGCTGCATGGTCACTGCTAGACAGAAGACAGACTCCAAGCTCATGTGCAATGGGTACCCTTTACAGACAACCATTAGAAACTGGAAAATTAAAATTTTAGTAACTGTTGATAGGAATTCCCCACCTTTCCTTTTCTGAGTTAGTTTGTTTTGTGGATTTTACAGTGATATACATGTAAACTCACTATGATTTAGTTAGGAAGTTAATGATTTTACATGGCATAAGAAAGAGTGTGTTTCTATAAGACATTAGATATTTTAATTTCAAAATAACAGAAACCTCTCAGTGACTCAGACACAAGCTACAGTTAATAAAAAAGAACCACTAAAAAGCAAGTCCTAGAACTGAAGAAAAAAAATTAAGCATACATAGATTCATAGTTCAGCAAACATGGGCAGTATCCCATAACGTACCAGAAGTCCTAACAGGAGCATTTTGCACTCATTGTAGCAGAAATACTCTACATTGTATGAAAATTAAAGCATTCACACAAAAGAAGGAGCTGCTTAGATCTGAAGCATTTTACTTTATTCATGATTGAGAAAACTGCAAAGGTTTGTTTTTAAATGGTTGGAATTTTAAACATCACCATGGAAATGCCTGAAATGCTTCAGAAATGTAGCATATAAATTTTGTATGGTTTCCAATACATTCTTCTCTAGTTAGCCTCACCTTTTCCAGCACAGGAAGCCAAGATGTAACAAGATGCAGGTTCTTTAAACACAGCCATTCTCCATTACGGGCACATTTTTTTAAAGTCTGAATAGCCACGTCAGCTTGGCCTTGGCCCATTGCAATCTGAAAGGACAGACACAGTTGTATCAGGAATTCATCATACCTCATTTAAGAGCTAAATACAAAATTGTGTTTCCAAGTTAGACTGTATATATACTAAAAAAGGTGTTCTAAAGATAACCAGAATTTTTCTTAATGTGGCAGGCTAATGAAGTAGGGAAAATGCAGTTTTTCCCTTGCAACCTATCTAACCAGAGTTTCTTAAGAAACAACATTATCTAGTCTTTTTATGGAAAAAACATACAGATACTACAACTGTAAAATTTAACACATTGTGGTTTTTAATCATTATGCTTATCTAAGGCTGACCTGATGGTAGCACTCAGTACTTCTTTCAATACTGGCAAGTTCCTGCAGCTCTTGAGAAGGATCAGCACCAGGAGAAATAATTATCAAGATGGGCTCAATTTCCAGAGTCTCTTTATAAAGACGTTTCAAATTCAGAGGTGGTGGAGATAATTCTTTTATCCCTGTAATTAGAATTATTATGGAAATGAAGTGACGACACAGTATGGAGTATTTCATTAACTACTTTAGAGGTCACCTAGATGTCCAATTTCTGTTCAATGTAGACCATAAAAATGGTCCTACAATGAGAAAAGAATTCTTGCAGGTAGAAAGCACCCTCTATTGGTAAGAAAAAGACACAAACAAGCACCAAAACAGTGCCTGGACTTCCAGCTCCCAGCTATTGGCAGGGAGGTGAGAAAGAAAGAAAACAGACAAATGAGCTGAAAAAAAAAAGAAACTTGATATATAAAGAGAGATTGGCTTGGTGCTTTTCCAACCACATTCATAATTCAAGCTACTTGAGTTATTCTAAGCAATAAAAAATATCAGGAAGTAGAACATGATGGCATTCTCTAGGGTAAGAATGTTTATGTTAGCTAGTTCTCATGAAAG